AAAACGTAAGAACTGTTTTTGGCTGTGTCCAGTTGAATGCCTTCAAAACTTGCTGACAAAACGCAAAATCAGCATACATTTGTGTTTTGCAAATGGCTTTGCGATGAACACATGCTGGAATTCAGTGTTGTGCTTGTTAGTTACTGGTATGGACTGTGTTTACTTTTGGCGTTCCCTTTTGGTGACGCTGTTTTATCAGCGTGTTGTCGGTGAGTGTTTTTTGATGTTTGGATGTCTTTAACGGGTGTAAGCACAGGACAGTGTTTTTCGTTTTGCAAATTGTATTTGTGATTGTTTTCATCGTTGTCAAAACATGTGAACATTGTTTCGGCTCACACCGCAATCCCACACAACGGCACAACGTAACCGATTCATGTTGTTTTCCAGTTTTTTTTTTTGGGGGGTTTTGTTGGCATAAAAATGGGTTGGACACAGGAAACCTGTGAGAGTTCCAAAGACATGTTCCAGTTGCCGAATTTTCCAGTTGCAATGGCCAACCGGGTCCTAGGTGGATGAATTTCTACGTGGCAATTGGTTTGGCGGTGAATGTGATGGCATTTGCCCTCGTTCAGGCCAGGCGCTGTGGATGCTGCAACGTCGAAACCCAGGAGAATTTGAGCCAATTTGTTTGCCTTGGGTCCAATTCTTTTGTTGCTTGGAAGTAACAGGCCCAAAACGGGCGGAATTCGAACCGGAAACAGTTCAGGGGATGTTCCCACATGAATACCTATTTGCGATAAGAGGAGCAATTGAAATATATTCTTTTGACGCCGCTCGGAAGATGCAATGATATATTATCCAGCACATATACATATAGGAAACATGGTTTGCATTTGCGACTTGTGATCGCGACAGGTCGGCAAGAAAACCCATGGAACGGAGGTTCAAAGGCCATCGGGGCCAGTCAAAATCAATCAACACATATCAAAACAATGGGGCAAAGATAGGTTGGTGATTTTGTTGTGCTGGATGTTCTCTTAAATTTGATCTGATACCGTTTATGCATGTTTGTGCACGTTCTTTTTTGGGCATTTATCACTGCCCGCAGCAAACTTTGAACCCATGATGATAAAATATGAACATCAGGAGCAGCGTGATTGCAATAGTTAAATATTGTGGGCTCGTTTCGTTGGAATGACTTGAACAGCTCTTCAGTACCACTGGTGGTGAACATCTCAATTCAGCCAGCCTTTTGCTTAGACCAAATCAAAAGGGAAATTCTGCTAACCCATTTTTCTTCCTTCACGTGGATGGGTGTGATGATTTGTTTTCGGATTTTAGTCAGAATATCAGTTCTTGAAAAATATGCAGTCGCACCGTGGCACCCTATACTTACTTGTGATCCCACAGTTGCTTGTTTGATTTTGACGTGTAAGAGTGAAAGGAAACACCAAGGTTGCTTGGAAACGTTGAATGTTGCGTAGAGAGAAAGGGGTCAAAATTCGTCTCTCAAAAGCATGTGCGTACCGTTGGCAACTAACAAACTGTGTGCATGTATATATGTATATTCCTAAGTACAAGATACAGACACACACACATACATACATATATGTTTACACATACTTACCATTGTAGTATTGGCAGTTTGTGCCTTGCATCGAAACATTTTGGGATTTTAAAATTCAATTTCATTGATGAAAACTTCAAACTACAAATCAAATTTTATGTTTGGAACTCACTTCTCAACCGCACCCAATATTTAGAGCAAAATGCCCGGCCCATCAAAGACAATGCAGAAATTCAGAACCGAAGGAAATTTACAAGTCTAAACTCCGTTATATGGAAAATATGGCAGAGAAGAAAATTAACCACAACCACATCACATCACCACATCACCACATCACCACGCATCACCACATCACCACATCACCACATCATAACATCACCGTATCAACACATCACCGCAACACAACATCAGGAACACCATATATAACCACATCACCAGATCACCGCATCACACCACCACCGCCATCATAAGATCACCGCATTACCGCATCACCACATCACCAGATGAGCATATCACAACGTCACCGCCACATCGCCACATCACCAGATCACCACATCACACTCATCGCCACATCACCGCACGACCAGAACACCACATCACCATAACAGCACATCACTACATCACATCACGACTTGTTTCGTTCAGGTGATGCTGGAAGGTTGTTGAGAATGTACAAAGCCTTATGTTTTCTCGCGCGAAGTCTCTTGTGCCGACGGTGTGGGGAACCTGTTTGTGAGATGTGTCCAGCTTGCGCTCGGATTGCGCCCGGCTGTCGCCGGAGTTGTCCCCATTGTCAGTGCTGCGGGCCTGATCCGCGGTAACAGTGTGATTTGCGAAGCGGTGATCGGAGCAAGAGAGAAAGTGACATCGTGAGGAGGCCGAGAGAAAGACATGTCAGGGAGAAAAAAAGACGTCCAGGCAAAACAGCAGGCAACAGGAAGGGCTGTCAAGATTCAGAGATGACAATCGCAAACCGGATCAAGAGAAGTGGCA